TGTGTGTGTGTGTGTGGCAGTGTAGTGGGAGACAGATGTTTGCTGATTCGACAAGTTTGCAGTGCAAACTCAGCCCAATTTAGACGACAAAAAAACCTGATGCCACACAGACGCTCATGGTGACAGCCCACTCTTAATTTTCTCTCCTTTTAATTCAAGCTCTCTTTCTCCTCTCAGTGTTTTCTCTACAACTCTTTCTTCCTCTTCTCTCTCTATTCCTCTTTCACACACACATAAACCCAACACTGTGTGTGATTACACTAGCAGCATTATAGCTGGTTGTTCTTCTGGAGCTGTTTTCCTTGTTACAGGCACCTCTGACTAAGTCTCAACTTTCACAGAGGACACTTTCTTCTTCTGCCAAACTCAGAAATGATAAACATAAAGCGCTTCAGGCTTCATTGGACACTCTGTCTACGTTACAATATATACTGTGCATTAAATACATTACATTGCAGAAGTTCTGTTTAAACAAGATTAAAACCTACATGAATTGATGGGTTTTGGGATTTATTGCAATGCAATATGGCAATCATTACAATATTTCCTCTGTGTTTCTATTTTACAATGTACAAACTAGATAAAAAAGACCATAAATAAACAAATGCTGAATGTAGCTAATTCTTCATCAAACAAGAGAACATATACAATTGACACAGATGGATGGACATTCTACTCTACATGTCTAATTCAACAGAATTCATACAATTAAAAATAAAAAACAGAACAATTAAAAACAAAAAACACAAGCAAATCATACAGTTTGTTAGTATGATCGTCCAGTATGAAACAGGTAAGAGCTCGTAATGATACATTCTGTGCGGCTCCTCTCACTCTCTCGGGTAACTTTGCATATTCAGAATATTCAAAGATAGCTGACGTCTTGACAAGGGAGATTCCATGTTGTGCACGTTCATTCACACCACGCGCACACACACACACACACACACACGCACGCATACGTATGAGCAAACACAAAAACACATTTTATTCAAGTCAAGCCCAAAGCAGCGAAAGAAAAGTTGGAAGCCATTCTGCTTATGCACAGCCTAACATGTCAGCCTTTACAAAACAGATAATAAAATAATGAAAAATAGAACTGGATAAGAGGATGTGGCTTCAGTTTGAGCTCGCAGTAGCTTAATGCTATCTGTGGCCACGTCCAGATCATGGTGTTTTTTATTTCGAAAACTCCACAGGATGGAAGTTCACAAAAGTGCTGCTTTCCTCTCTCTCTCTTTCTCTATCCTCTTTTCACTTCGTACTTTTATTTTTTACTCCACTCCTCGTATTTCCACTGGTGAAAAGTCCCTCTAAAGTGCATGGATGAGGTAAATGAAAATTCTTCTTAAAACAGGTTTTTATATCCGTTCTCCGACTCAGACAGGAACCATTGTGTGTTGCATGTGCTGCATTTGAGACAACATTTCCTGCTGCACACTAGCAATTAGTATGTCCTGGTGTGATGGTGTGATTATTCCAAGTCTGTCCATCTCCCTGTGGGTGCAGAGACAAAGATGTATGTTCAAACACACAAAGCCACAACGTGCAGTATACAAAGGATAAAGCCGGGCGGGATTTTTCCTTTTTCATCATCACCAATTTCAGGAAAATTGGCAGACACTTTCGTCCAAAGGGACTTCAATTTCCCCCCAAACACATAGCTATTTGGGGTTCAGTGTCTGCTCAAGGAATTGTGAGCATCCATTTAAACACCAGCCTCACAATTAATAGCTAACCCTGTCCACCAATTGAGCTATAACCGGTATTATCAAGTTGTTTGTGTTGCCAATGCCTGACATAGTTTGTGCCTTTGTGCCATAGAACTCCATTGTCATTCAAAACTATTAAAACATAAAAGAGTACAGCACCAAAGCAAAACAGTGTTAACAAGAAACCACATCACAGGGCATGCTCAGTGACAGGAAAATGCAGTTCCACAAGGGACGCATTTAAGGAATATGTCACCCATGCATTGGTTTGATTCTTTTATGTTTTAATAGATCTGGGATGTAAACAGAGGTCTGTGGCACAGAGGAATAAGCTACATAAAACATTACCATTTAGTTGGATAAATCCACTGTTGGTTTTTGGGGTCTTCTGGGGAATTGTACAAAGAAAATAAAAAGATGAAACAACGCAAGAGCTAGCCTTAAATTAAAGTAGTATTTCACTGTTATAGAAACCTGTGTTTCTGTTGTTTGTGTAATTACATAGTACAAGTGCTCTAAGGCATCAACTGACATCAGGTGTAAAGGTGTCAGTATGCTTATTGGCTCATCGAAAAGCCTCTAAAACCTTTTCCCTCCACAAGCAGTGATTAGCCAGGTATGCAGAGGTAAGAAAGTATTCAGAATTAGTCTCCCAAGCTCTGTTTTTTTATTGTTTTTTTCTTTAGTGTTCAGATGATACTTCACAGGAACTAGTTTGTTTAAGTATACTGAACCCATAAGAGTGCGAGATACATACACTGCATTGCCTCAGCCGTGCTAAAAACACACCAAACACAGTTTACCTCTCGCTCTTTTATGTGTGCAAATACATAAATTTGTGCTACTGTAATAACACATAAGTGGATGTTAGGATGTTAGGAAGATTCTTTTCTCCTGTACCTTGAATAAGGGGGGCTCTTATCCTTCTGTAATATGTGAGCGAATTAATGTACTGTTGAGTGAAAGCACAGATGTGATTCTGTTTGTGCAGCTCATGTTTTTGTGGTAAGAAATGTGATGAGTAAACGCCAAAGTGATTCTCACTTTAATCCATTTTCACATGAAGGTGCACTTACTGGTGTGTGAGAGCCAGGAGGCTGTCAAGGCTGGTGTATCCTGCTGCTGCCAGAGTGTCTCTGTACCTCTCCAACCCGATGGACTGCAGCCACACACACATCGACCACTCCGGCACACACAACTGCGGTACGACCGACACGCACACCTCTGAACCCACCCCTGACTCCAGCATAGTGGCTGTGGGTCTGTAAAAACAGAGTGAGAGCAAGCATGTTGGTGGTGGCAAAAGCCTGAAATAGGAGTGTGAAATCACAATTAAAGAAGCACTGTGCATGTAAGCCTAATAATCTGGATGAAAGAAAGTAGGGAGGGGTGTGTGAGTACAGTATGAATGCATGTGTTTGGCTATATTTTATGGGTATGTATGTATTTCTATGTGTTTGCCTGTGATCTGGAAGTACAGTATGTACCTGTCCCCTCCTGTGCGGCGCAGAGTCCCAGGGTTACGGATTAGTTTATCCAGCATGTTGAGTATCTGGCTGAAGGTGGGTCTCTCTGCTCGCTCTCTCTCCCAGCAATCCAACATCAACTGGTGCAGCACCACAGGACAGTCCATGGGAGCAGGCAAGCGGTAGCCCTCTTCCATCGCTTTTATCACCTGAAGGGAGGACAGAGGTGGAGGGTTTAGATAGAGGAGGAGGTTAGATCTGAAGCTAAGAAACTCCAAAAACCCAGATCCAGGTAAAAATGTTTCACTTATTCTGAACTAAAACAATATCAGACAAGAGAAAATAGACATTTACAGGATGAAATGTCAGTGTACACTAGTAGTACACTAGTATACTTATTGTCACAGTATATTGTGTTTGCAGTTTGTATAAAATAAATACATTTACAGTAAATGATAAAATATGTGCAGCAACAGGCATTAATCAACTGCCACTTTGAAACGTCACTGCCAATTACATTTCACAAAAAGAAAGCAAAACCTTTTGCTGAAGATTTATTACTTTTTTGTTGTTTTCCAAGATCCTTTCAGAGCTGTCTCACCACCATCTGCAATTTATTTTAATTTTTTGCAGCTGTGAACAGCTCCCCTCTATTTCCTTGTTCCATTATACTGTGGGACAATACTGTTCATCAGGGGCCCGCACTCAGACAACACTGAGACAACTGCGCCTTTTGAGCCTCAGTACTGTCAAGAAATATATTATATTACATTGTGAAAAATTAAAATATTAATGGATTTTGTAACTCCCATTATTATACTGTGTCTTAGTCCTATTTGGGGGGTTAATCGTGCTCATCATAATTTGGAACCATAGTTCCCAGAAGTTGTGAGGCTTTGGGGATGTAAGTATAATGTTGCCATGGATTCAGTCACTTAGCTGTGGGATATAATGTTTTTTCAGCCTATATTTGTTTTTTAATTTAAGTTTACAATGTATTAATGGATGTACAGACAACAATCATTGGGTTGCTTATTATGGAATCGGGTCATAGCTAAGGAGTTACACTAAAAAAATAACTTTAAAGATGCTTCAGTTATATTTGGTTGTGAGATAAGTCTTGGCCAGTTTGCCACTGGGCTTCACTAAAACAAACAAGAGATAAGAGCAGTTCAGCATGTACTAATTTGCTCTGGAACAAAAAAGAAAATAAGATGGATAACGTGTAAATTGCTCATCAGGAAAGCTTTCTTAGACTACAAATGTGCTGTAGATGAAATCAATCATATCTGAACATTTCCATACGCCAGGCTGGCTCCTTGACCTGCTCAAACTTAACAAGCTTTGATAGCAAAGTGATTGCAAATTTGCTCTGAAATAGGATTTCTTGTCTCAGATCTCAAAAACTAAATCATCCCCAAATTTATATAGTGTGTGCTTGGCAGAATGATAACACTAAGAAGCAATTTCTAGTTATTTTTAATGAAGCCTAAATATTTCTCTTCAATAAAAAAGTCTTGTGATGGCTGAACAAAATCTTGGCCTGGTGCCCTTTCAGAGGATGATTTTAAGAGTAAATTTACATTTTTTAAATAGTGCAGAGTTCAAGTACACTGGGTCAGAATTCAGTACGTTACACAGTTTATTTTCCTCCAGCAGTCCTCTGTTAAGATATCCTAAAGAAGTGGTCCCTTTTATGTGTATTTATCTGTTTAAAGTAGATTCATTTAAGTCCATTTCTTGACTGTACAGAAGTAAACGTTTCCTCTGACTCTGATGGCTCTCAGCACACAAATTGGTGATTAGTGGATTAATATTTATTTTGACAGGGAACTTAATTTTCCCTTTCATTTCCGATAACATTTTACTCTTCAACTTCAGTATTAGAATCTGATAGACACAGTTTCACAACAGAGTGCACGGGGGCGACTGCATGAGCAATCACACAGGCAGCTTTTAAGCAAATCCCCACTTTGACCATATTATATAAACCACTTATTTGGAAATGAAAATGAGGGTGAATCTTCAAGTTATTACTCAAACCATAAACATTCATTAGATCTCAAAGAGCTACTTCCTGGTTCACACGTTTTAACACGTGGATGAAGTCACTATTGTTTTCACTCAGAAATAACAGTTTAAGATAATATGGTTAAGTTGTGGGTTTCTGCAGTGGGTTTCAGGAATGAGCTCACTCTTTTGTCTTTGAGGCAACTCATAGGTTAGATGATATAAAAATGACTCACATCCTGGTTGTTCATGTCCCAGTAGGGTCTCTCTCCATATGAAACCACCTCCCACATGACAATACCGTAGCTCCACACATCGCTGGCCGTGGTGAACTTCCTGTAGGCGATGGCCTCTGGAGCCGTCCACCTGATGGGGATCTTCCCTCCGGGGGAAAGATAAGTCCCAGTGGCCTCCTAAAAGAGTCATTTTGGTTCAGTGAATGATGCAGTTTGTTTATTATTGCCTTTATCTGAGTAGAGAAATTGTTTCTATTTCCAAAAATGTAAGCCTCAATATTTATTCACTAATTGACTGAAACGTCTATAATAAATGTATTTTCAAAGGCTGCAAAAAAACAGACTGTAATTGTAACATTTAATGAACAATAATGAATTCATAACCACAGGAATAACAGACTGTATGTATATATTCACATCCAGTTTGTATGTATAAATTACTTGTTTGTGTCTTACCCTTGTAGTGTAGGCAGCCTCTGGGTCGTCCTCCAGAACCCGACTCAGGCCAAAGTCAGACACCTTACACACCAGGTTGCTGTTGACCAGGATATTTCGTGCTGCCAGGTCTCTGTGAACGTAGCTCATGTCTGACAGGTACTTCATACCTGAGGCGATGCCACGCAGCATGCCAACCAGCTGGATCACTGTGAACTGGCCGTCATGTTTC